ACCAAGAGTACACACAACCAGTGTGACCAAAAGAAGGCTATCCAGCCAACAAGCTTTACAGGCAACTACAAGAGTAGTGCCCGTCGTGAGTCCTTCCTGCAGGAGTATCCACACAAGAACACAAGCACAAGCTAGTTCAAGGAACAAGCACAGCACAAAGTGCATTACCACACAAGGCAACCATGAGATTCCAAGGAGAGGTGGTCGTGGTGGAGAAGATACCCTTCTAGGGGGGTAGGGGATTCAATTCCTCAGGAAGAAGCATCAAGGAAGAGGCAACAGCTACAGGAACCAGAACAAGAGTCCCAAGCGTCAGTTCCTTTCCATCCAAATGGACAGGCTGACAACAGGTATTATCCTTTTGAGGAGACCCTGACACACATTGTCCAGGACCTAAGAATCAAGCCTGAGTGGAATGATGTGCCACTGGCTTCATTGGCATATGAGACCATGACAAGTCAGGCACCAACAAGCCGACCAAGCCTACACTCCAAGTGTCACTTACTGATCCCCAAGCACAAGAATACGATGCTTTGGAACTCAGCGAGTACAAGGCAAAGTCATCCATCTATGATAAGTCGACTCGATCCTATGAGAACATTCTCAAGACAGGTGCAACACCATCCAGGTGACATACTGTACGAGCATGAAGTCCAAGCTTGAGGTCTAGAGACTACGAGGATGCAGTAAAGCTGGATCCCATTGAGTTGCTCAAAGGATCAGATTGATAGTGATGCAAGCCCAACCAAAGAGTTCCCATTGCTACAATACATCAAGACATCCAACGTGGCTTGTTCCCAAAGCAAGGAGACCATGACAGAGTTGACTTCTACTTGAGAAAGGTCGACAGCGACGTGGATCAAGTGTATGACCTGGTCGGAACGGAGTTCATTGATGCTAGGACTATCGGATTACCTGAATACCAGGCCGCATCGGGTCACGACGCCCAAGAAAAGGTGCTAGTGACGGAAAGGGCTGGGTTGAAAGCAACCGTGGCTACCATGGCCTACAGAAAGGACGATACGGCGACCATCAGAAGACCGTTGAGGCAGCCTATCCATGGATGGATCAATCCAGTTTCCTTCTACTCTGGATCATCTCAGAGAGACTTTGTCCAATGACAGGTTCAAGCCAGCAAAGAATGGTTGGAACAGCGGAGACAGGGACCGGAACATATTCCAATCCCAAGCCACCTCATTTGATCAAGAGATGAAGGGCAATACACTCGGTAGTAGCACACCGGGTGACGACGCGCTGCAGCGAGAGTTGACTTGCAGTAGGAGCGAGCGGAGGCATAGAGGTTGTTCAGACGAGGTCAGTGCAAAACACACTCATTCTTGCAGTTGGTGAATTCAATAGAAAGAAAAGGGTCACTATCTGATGGCAGGGGAGGAGATCCTGTGGTGTGGGAGTGTTGTATGAGTTGGGTTGTAGCATGGTTGATGTTGTGTTGTAGGATAGAGGTATGTCTGTGTTCAAGGGTAAGGACAAAGGCATCATCAATAATGGGGTATGGTGTGATTCGGAGGGGTGTGATCGTCAAGATGGCTGGATGCTTTAGGAGCTGTTGGCTGATCTTCTGGGGAGTGGTGTTGTTTAGTCTGCAGAGGATGGTGGATGTGGTAGGTTGGGTGAAGTGTGGGAGTGGGGAGTGTCTGGGAGGACGTTGGGGTTGAGTGAAGTAGAGGGTAGACATGGGGAAGTCATGGTGGTTGGTAGGTGGGTTGGTTGGAGAGTTGTGTATCCGGAGTGTTGACTTTAGTGTCGTTGCTTCAACTAAAGCAATGGAGGTTGCTGGTGAGGTGCGAGATGAATGATGTAGAAGGGTGTATTCAAGGGGGAATGAACTGAGGCACTGGTAATCAAAGTTTATATCAAGTTGTTGAGTTGTTGTTGCCACTTGATCAAAGGCTGTGGCCAAGTATTGTGCAGGTATACCACTACTTGCAGGAGAAGATGGTATCTGAGCCAAAGGCTGTTAGGATTCTTTCAGGGAAAACTGGAGAAGTCACGCTATAGGCAGTAGAGGCAGGGTGGGGGTATCAAAGGGTGTTGTTGGTTGATGGGCTGGTACTGGTGGACACTGTGTTGTCTCAAAGGCTGTACTCAATCTGTTGTAGGGTCAATAATGCAACAGAGAGTCAAGCCAAGAGTTGTAGAGGGTACTCAATTAAGGTGGAACTGTGGAAAGTCACTGGAGAGTAACTCAACAATCAATGAAAGAGAGATAGAGTCAGTTAAGTATTAATATCTATGACACACCACGCTCCAGTTCTGTCTGGGGCTCAATCCTGTGGAGTTCCTGAGGCTCAGTAGGGGAGTCAGGTTCAGTAGCAGAGAGGTGGCCGTGTCAATGAAGTGTTGCACAATCTAGCCAAAAACGCTAGAGGGGCAACTTTTTAGTTGGATCTTGTGGGGGTAGGATCATTTGGAGAGGAGCTGGAGCAACTGAGGGCTGTGAACACCGGCAAATCAGCCAAAAGCCTGGAGAACCCAGAACTCAAGTCTTACAGAACTCTGATTGTAGTTGTTGTTCCTGCTTGAGAGAGTCAATATCAATGAGGGTGTAACAGTAGCAGTGTCCGATCATCACTCCATCGTATAGGGACTAGAACTGGTGGATCGTCGAAAGAAGGAGCGACAATGGGTTTTCGTCGGCCGTCAGGAGCTCAGTTCAGAAAGCAACAATGACACGTATGGGAAGTGTTTTCTGTACTGTGCTGTGGAAGGCCGGAGACTTCTTCTTGTGGGTAATTCTAGAATCAGTCAAACAAGGACCGGGAGAAACCACTAGTGCCCGGTGAGAAAGTAAGAGTACAGGTGTAATTCTATTCTCGGTGGTCACTGAAGGTAACTCGTGAAGTCCTGCTTGAGAGTAGCTCGTACGAGGAAGAGGTACTTCGCAGGGAAAAATCACTGGGAATGAAAAACCCTGCAGAAACGCCCTTTTTGAGTCCGCAGAAAAACTTTTTTTCATGAAGCAGGCTGGCGTGCTCTCTGCAGAAGCCCTCGAACTCTGGAGTTCCGAAAGCCGGCATGGCTTTTTCTGCCGGGAGTTGTTTTTTTTTTCTGCCAGGAGGTGTTTTTGCCAGTGAGGGTGGCTGGATAGCCTCTGTCGTTGACAGCTCACGGTAGAACGTGGTATGGATCCTTGGGTAGTAGCGAACTGCCTCTGTTGGTCCTCTTGTTGCCTCTGCAAAGCTTGCAGATGGTCTTGTTATGCTTGGATGGTTACACTGTGTGAGTATTGCAGTGTGAAACAGGCAAACGGTGGAGTTTTACTTCTCCGGGATACTTATGAGCTTTCTCGTGATTTTTGTGTTTCTCTTCACAGTAGCACTGTATCACTCGAATCAACCTATCTCACTCAATTCTGGGAGTTAGAAGCTTGCACTTATACTCAGAGATGCGGCTAGATGTCCTCTATCGATTGATGTATTGGACCTCTTGCTTGCAACGCCTGTGGCAGGATCTATCTTGATCCCCGTTCGATGACTTCTGCTCGTTGTGATGAGACGTATCAAAATCACGCGCGATGACACGATGACATAAGCAGCTGTAACTCAATGAATAACAGCCGGATTTGCTTGCTTCCAGCGGACAATTCGTGTAGCTTGTTCTCCTTGATCAGCTGGTGTACGTAGATTTCTCCAGTTCCGGCCGGAAACTGTTGATCGATCGTATCGTACCTTGTATGCGTGAAGATGGGAATTCCCGCGCACGCACCTCTTTCCTGTTAGAGGCCTTTCGATGCTCTTACAGTGTGGCTAGAGGCTGATTCTTCGCACCTCTCCTCTGTTGCAGGTGTTAACTCAAAGCTTTCACTTGAAGTCAATACACTTTGACTTGATTTACCTTGGTATCAATCTCGAGGTCGGTAGTAGTAACTCGAGATGGCCTTTTGCTTTTCAGTTTTGTTTGCTAGTAATACTGCAGCTTATTGGGGAGTAATTTGGTTTTAGATTAAGCTGAAAAGCAAAAGTGAGGATTTTCTGGTGGTGCATAGCAATTCTTGTGATAGAATTGGATATAAGGACCCCCGTAACACTTTAGACCTAAAACTCCCTTGGTTCCTTGCATGATGAATATGCATGCGAACCGGACTAGATGATTAATACACGAGTCAATAGTAAAGAGGTGTCAGGTATATTTCCTCCAACAAGGGGGGTCAAACAAGTCCCACCAACCGTGACAGAGTGACGGTTGTTGTTGGAACACAGATAATGCATTCCTTGCCGCCAAACATGGAAAAGACGGAAAGTGTCGCGGTAGGATTGGGGTCCAGCAAGGTCAGAACAGTGCTCGAGCGTCAGTCCGGGTTTAACCGGAAGGACGACAGGCAATGCGACAATTCTGGGAATGTCACCGTCTCCAACTTCCTCAGGCAACGGAAAATTCAGTCGCTCCAACGAGGCAGGGACAGGGACAGGGTCGTTGGTACGTGTGCCACCTGCCGCTCCAACACAAGGTGGAGGTGGCGGAGGTGGTCTCGCGATAGTATCCGGCGCAGTGGGATGCACAGCCAAACCGAAATGGGTTGCATCTTCCAGTCAGACGAGCGTAGTGACGAACCCAAAGAAATCATACAAGGGCATCTGGGCAATATGGGGTTCACCGATAGAGTCCGTGAAATCGCCAACGACCATGGCGGCACCCTGGCTGTTGGTAACGATTGTAGGGCGGGTAATCAGACCTACTTTCTCGTTCCACACACAGGCGAACTGGAAAACGTTTCCAGGGTCACTTAGCACCTGCTGCCGATGATTGGTATTCATACCAGGCTGGAGGGTACGCTGAAGAAGTTGGGCAACGACAGGGTCCACGGCACGAGAGGTGGAAAACGCCTGGACGGGACCATTCTTTCCACGCGAAAGGGAAAGCTGGCGAGCAGACATGGTGGTAGACACGGGCAGGAGTTGCAGATGGGTGGCTGAGGGAAAACTGATTCAGAAGGAATCGACTTGTGAGCAAACCGACCTGCGGAGATTGCTCTAGGCCCTAGAAATTTGAGACCAACGTTCACCTAAAGTTAGATAGGTAATTGGGCCATAGCTCGTCAAGATTGGTCGGGATGTTTGGAGGCAACATGACTACCCAAGTAAAGTAGGCTTCAGTGATGATTTGCCTAAACCAAATTTCGTAAAGACGAGTTGGTTCACGATGCACGTGACCTGGGTCGGGCCACCAGGCGCCGCGGAGTAGAGGAGAGTCCCGGGGGTCCGAAGACTTAACGCGGGTACCTTGCGATACATCCATGGGTCAGGGAAAAGAGTTTAGGGATAAACCTTTAAATCTCTCACGGGAAAACGCGTGCCGATCCCAGGTATCCCTCCGTTGGTCAACGGAAACAAAAATGATATCCCGGATACCGGAAATCCAAAACAACAACGATGGCGCCTCGTGGGGCAGTGAATGCACCATGGGGCGACAATGAGCCCTAAATGACTAGTAGGTAGTAAAACATAAAAGTAGAGCCACTAGCGGCATGTTCCTTCTCGACCGAGAGCGGCCTTACGAGTTCTTAAGAACTCACGGAAACGTGAAGGGAAGCCACTAAGGGCGCCCATGTGTCACTAATGACGGGAGAGCCTGTGGTCGAAACACACAGGGTCCGGTGAAGCTCACACAACATGGCCCGGCTATGCGGGGCACATGGGCGGAGGCACCATAAAGAGAGATGGACCAAGGACGGCAAAAAAGCAAAATTCCATGGTCCAGAAGCCTGTTGGTGGTAATCCAGCATCAGAAAACCAAACAGTGAGGAACTGTTTGGCTGATACTGACCTTAACCAGTCTACAGGATGGCAGGTCAGACTCAGCTAGGAACAGTAAAACTGCCCCGCTGGCTTAGAGTCTTGGCTACAATCAAAGTGTCGCTCCTTCTCTCAAGCCCATTCTCTCCCATAGTCTGCTCTCACCCATACCAGTAACCTCTTCGTTTATTACTTCAAAGTATCACCATCGCCCTCATTCAGACTCGACCAGATGCCGATCATGAAACCAAGACTGCAGAAGAGGAGGCTGGCAAACCGGGCAAATTGGGTTCTACCCTCAACCACCAAAAGCAGGAAAACGAGGAGAGACAACAGGAACAGAAGGAAGAAGAACAGCAGAAGAACGAAAATGAGGCACAATCCATTTTTGCCCACGCCAAGCAGTCCATTGCCTATCCAGCAGCAAAGACAAAGAAAAATCAAGCAGTTGTGATTACAGCTCGTAAAGTCGCCACTGAAAGTGCCATGCTAGCAGCAGAAAAACGAAAAATCGCGTATCCCAAACAATGTACACGAGTTGGTCAGACAGAAGTTCGACCAGCTGGAGCCACCAATGAGCAGCAGTTAGTCCACAACAAAACTCAAACGATGGCCAATACTGCCAAAGCTGCTGAGACTAGTGCCCTATTGGCACATGAAAAGGGACACATTGTATATCCAAGAAGTGGGCCATCTGAAAAGAAAAGAGCCACCAAAAATCAAGGCCACAGGCCTGGCATTGCGGTACCTGTACAGGGGCATACTGCTACCACAGAAGGGGGCAATTCTCCATCAGCTGGTGACACCATCGAACAGCAGCAGCACCACCTTTTGAGCACTGTCGAGATCAACAGAATTGGACTCAACGACATGAATGCAGTTCGGGTCCATACGGTACAAAATGATGTGCATTTGCCTCGAATGGAACGGAGTATTGCCAACAGAAGGCCCCAATTACAACCAGGAGCCCACCCAAGTGGAGGAAATTTTCAAGCAGTAGAGGAAAACCTGGAAACAGCAGTGATGCACATTGAACTAGCAACTACTCAGCCACCAACGTTCAATCCAGTTGATTCCTATAGTAACTTGGCTGTGGCAAACTTGGTTGAAGATGAGACAACCTCTCAGGATCCGCCCCATGCTCAAGATTGCAATCTGGAAAATGAAAACAGAGGCAGAGGAGAAAGGATGAAACAATTCAAAATCAAAGTCATCTTGGGAGTCATTGTCTTGTTGGCCATCCTTATCATTTTGGTAGCCATCCTGATTCCTCGAAGTCAAGGATAATGCAAATCTTGTCCCAACAACCGCACCTAGTGGGTCGCCCAGCAGCAACCCATCTCAGGCACCATCGTCCTATGCAGACTACTTGTTATCCCTTTTCCCTCAAACGACAGTGACTACAATTCTGGAGGGCCCAGCATCAGCCCAGTCAAGGGCATTTGAATGGCTCATGGGAGAGAAATACATCCTACACAACCTTACAGAGGAAAGAGTTATGCAGCGTTTTGTACTAGCAACTTTCTATTTTGCCAACAGCAAAGAACGATGGTCCTTGAATGATAACTGGCTGAACCACAGTGTTCATGAGTGCCTGTGGTATTCAGGTTTGGAGCAATGGTATTTCATGTCTGAGGCCAACATGCATTTCCCACTGGATCACATCAGCCCTTGCGAGCAAGATCTAGCTGGATATGTAGAGGATGGAATTTTGTATCAGGGAGATGGAATCATCAGGCATTTGTGGCTCTCCTTTAATGGCCTGATGGGATCAGGGATTCCTCCAGAGCTCTACTTGCTAACTGAACTTAGGAGCCTGGCATTGGATGGATTGAACCTTACCAGCACCATCCCAGATGAGCTCATTGGCCTTCCCGGCTTGGAGTATATTTCGATGATCAGTTGTGGGCTATTTGGCTCCATTCCAGAGGCAATAGGGCACGCGATTGTCAAAACTTGGAACCATGCACTTTGGCTTCAACTCCCTGACAGGAACTGTGAGTCATAGCCCATGGAGTATCTGAGCAGAGATGGCTGCAAAATCTCACATTGTCATTCTTCACCTTGAATTGCTGTCTTTTCCAGATTCCATCATCCCTGTATACGCTTACAAACCCAATGCAAGCCATCCTTTTGGTAGAAAATCAGCTGACGGAACCAGTAGGTACAAATGTTTTGTCTCTGCATTTGCAGGTTTGATGTTTCTCACTTGCTGTTTCTGATATTGCAGGTACCAACAGAACTGGGATTGCTAACAAATTTGTGGGGTCTAGCATTAGACACCAACCTTTTCACTGGGACGATTCCCACAGAACTTGGGCAATTAACTGGGTTGAAGTCCTTGTTCCTGAATCATCTGATTCTGAGTGGTGCCGTAAGTTTTCACCATTGCATTGGTTGATTCTCCTCGTTTGCGATCTTGAGACCTCACCAGGGCATTCTGGTAGATCCAAAATGAGCTTGCAGCTCTTTCAGACATGTGCACTACGCTAAAAGCTAGTGTAAAGATCTTTCGAGTGTTTTGAGTTTGAGAGAATGAAAGTTATGAGAGGATTAGAAAGCTATGAAAACTAATCAACGAGAGAGATCCACAATCAAAGGATCGTAGATCTGAACTCCCGCGGGAGACTGTAGAGTGTGATAGAGTAGGTTGCGGTAGCAATCCTACTCACTCCACGATCCAAAAACGGAACGCGTGGAAGATTCGTCTAGCATTTATCTAGTAGCGTGGAAGTACTCCACGCTGGCTAAATATCTAGAGCGATGTTTCATCATCAACCTAGTATGACTAGAGCGGTCATTGAGAACCCTGTCTCCAATGACTATTCGCGAAGGACTACGTCATGAGTCGAACTCAAACCCTATCTAGGATCGAGTCGCGAATAAGGCTAAGAGCCGTGTATTGCATTGCTAAGAGCCGTGTATTGCACATGGTAATGCTGCACCTGGATAACTCAGGTCTTACAGGGACAATACCTAAATGGCTGGGCAACATGACATCCCTGGAAATATTGACACTGTCAGACAACCCCTTTACCGGGATTGTAAGTCTACTTTTGTGCAGTCCTGTGGCGCTTCTTCTTCTACTAACATGAAGTCCATGGTTTCTTCTTTTCCCTCTAGATCCCAACAGAAGTTGGCCTGCTAACGCAGTTGTGGGCCTTTTGGCTTGGTGTGAATGCTTTGTCGGGCACCATCCCAAGTGAATTTGGCATGTTCAAGCAAGCTGGTGTGTTGACCTTGGAAAGTTGTGTCCTCACAGGAACGATTCCTGCAGAGCTTGGACTGCTTACTAGTTTGATGCAGTTGTGGCTGTTCAACAATGATTTGACTGGAATAGTGCCCTTGGAACTTGGCAATGTTCCTTTCCCTGCACCGTATGGTCAGATCATTTTGCTTGGAAATGATTTTTCTGGAATTATCCCTGAGAGCTTGTGTTCTGCCTACAACCTTACTTTTGACTGCAGCAACTTGCTCTGTGGATGTGATTGGTGTAACTGTTCTGGGATTGAATCATCACCGATAGTGGAGGGAGAGACTACCACTGAAGATGGCCAGTTACTGAGTGAGGCAAACCAAACTGAGGGGAACCAAACTGAAGCATGAACGGAATGACTCGACAATCAAGTATTTGCCATGAGAACGGCTGTCCACGGGACAAGGGTTTGTGTGCAGCTGCGGGAGGTCTATTTGGAAATCCTCAAGTTCTGAAGGAGTGGATGGAAGAACACGGTTGGGGTGTCGGGTTGATGACAATGACCTGAAGGAAAGTACAGTACTGCATTTGCTTGTTTCGCCAGGAATAAACGACGCTCATTCGCTCCTCGTTGACCTGGTCTGTACCCGACGGGTCGCCAATGATTGCCGGTGAGTCACTAAATATAAGCGTCGCAATTTTTAAAATTAGAATTTAAGTCAGCGGGAGCTGCGATACTTCGGCAGAAAGACAGATAGAAGAAGGATGACATGGTTGAGATTGCACCCTTCTTTCAAGGCAACCCTGGCGACAACATCCGATTTCGTCATGTGTTGCCGCCCGGTATCATTCCCTCATTATAACCTTCTTTTTTATTAAGCTAGCCCTGGCGACAACACCCGACTTCGTCGTGTGTTGCCACCCGCTAACCATAATTTACAGCTATCACTACCATATGCACCTGTAACTTTTATAGCTTCTGCTGGTTTATTGTGTTGAGTGCACTAACCTTGAACAATCCTGATTTATCCCTACCCCAAAATTTGTAGAACCTTCAATTTCCAGTTTTGTTGGCTTATGACTATCTCTATCCTTATACTTTGGCTTCACCGGAATAGGAAATAGTAAATAGTAAATAGCATTTAAGTCAGCGGGAGCTGCGATACCTCGGCAGAAAGACAGATAGAAGAAAGAAGATCTGTTTGAGATTGCACCCTTCTTTCAAGGTAGCCCTGGCGACAACACCCGACTTCGTCGTGTGTTGCCGCCCAGTATCATTCCCTCATTGTAATCTTCTTTTTATTACTCTAACCCTGGCGACAACACCCGACTTCGTCGTGTGTTGCCGCCCGATAACCATAACTTTACAGCTGTCATTCCCTTATGTAACTGTAACCTTTGTAGCTTCTGCTGGCTTATTGTGATGAGTGCACTAACCTTGAATAATCATGATTTTATTCCCACCCTTAAACTTGGTAAACCTTCAATTTCCAGTTTTGTTGGCTTACACCTATCTCTATCCCTATATTTTGGCTTCACCGGAACAGGAAATAGGAAATAGGAAATAGGATATAGGAAATAGGAAATAGGAAATACCAAAAAAGGGGTAGAGGGCTCAGGCAGATAGACTGCCGAGGTAAAAGGGGTAGAGGGCTCAGCCAGATAGACTGCGGAGGTATTGGACACTGTACATGTAGATGTTGCAACTTGCAAGTTACAAGGTCGCCCGTGAAAGCTACCCTGTCGCCCACCACTGGATTTTCCCCACCACTGGACTCTGCAATAACATCTGGATTCATGAGTATGAGTCCCAAACCAGTCAAAGTCCAGTGGTCAAGTTAATGAATAACAGGATACCACTGACTAAACCAATAAATTCATGACTGTCCTTTCAGATAAGCACAATAGAAGCACAGAATAACCATTGGAGAGCAAAATCCAGTGGTCGGGTACACAGTAGAAAGCGTGAGAGTACTTTTTCTTTTTGACTAGCTAGCTACCAGGTAGAGGGTGGGTTCTCAATTTTGTTGTTGTTGGGAAATGGGAAAAGCAGTTTGGTTGTCTCCGACCATCAAATTTATTTCATCTTTCCGTACCCATGCAAGCAGCAGACCAAGACGAAGATGTCCTAAGGCATGATGATGGCTCCAATCAAGGTCGCCCTCAGGTACCAGACGGACTGGATCGTCAGCAGGAACAAGTTATGGCAGATGATGCCAATGTGGAAGCTGTAGCAGCAGCGGTGAATGGCGGACCCAACGATGAAAACCATCAGGAGAATGAAAATGAAAACGATGATGCTCACGATGACAGTGACAGCAGTGAAAGTGAGGAAGAGGAGGATCAGGAGGATGGTGCTAACCGCGCAGGCCCTGCTGCTGTTGAGTTGCCCGTTGGTCCTTCCGATCATCGTCGAATGCAGCTCAACAACGAGGAGCACCAATGGGCTCTCAACATCAAACAAGCCATTGAAGATGAACCCGAGCTGGATTCCGTCTCCGACTTTTGGGTGGCTCAACTAGCATTGATTGACCAAGGAGACACAGCCGCAGCTCTGGAGCGAGCACACAAGATGCAGGGCTTTCGACAAGAGTATGGAATTTTGGATACCTACGAGCATGGAAGGCATGTTATCCATGAAATTATGGATATATTCCCCAAGCTTTATTTGTCGTTTGGTTTCAGTCATCGGTATGGGACCTACGTCTTGGTGCTTGACGTGGCCAAGCTGTATGCCAAAACCCTCAACACAAGACCAGGTGCCATGGCAGCTTGGCTGAGCGCAGAGTACTATGTATATAATTGCATGTCACCGGATCTGGAAGCTATCAGAACGGGTATTGTATCCATTGTGGAGTGTGAAGGCTTCGAATGGAGCAAACACTTTGGACTGCAGATTATGAAAAAGTTCTCTCTCGAGTTGGGTGCCGTCTACCCTTTTCAAGTCAAACAGCTGCTTTGCTATCATACTGGCTTGTGTTTTACGTTGCTGATGTCAATGGTCAAACAGTATTTGCCCGCCACACTCCGTTCCACGATTTCTGTTGGGAATATATGTGGCCTTGGGCGTTTGGACGCTCTCTACTTCTCACCAGGGGTTGAGTTCGCTAGAGATATGATAAAGACCCGGTTGGAAGAATGTTTGGACAGGAGGTACAGAAATGAGGCTTCCTTCTCTCTGTGAGAGTGACAGATCAACAATGTATTCCGTTGTGCAGCCATGTATGTAACCTTGTTCTTCCCATGTTTCGATTGGATTCCAATCAGAACGTACAACGCAGCAGAATCGAACAGTTTGGCAGCCAGTGCTGAAACATCCATACGAAAATGGTGTTCCGTTTGATGATCGCTTTTGCAAGGTTTGGAACCTGTATTTCTCGACTCCCGAGTGAAGGAATGATTAATCGTTGGAAGAACGCTTGGGATGTCGGGTTGATAACGATAGCCGGTAGATGTTAGCACTAATGTGCCTAGCTCGAGTGATCTTTTCAATCAAACGTTAAAGTGGTGCTGTAACCAACACTTTTAGAATTACAATAGAGGCTAAAGCCAGAGCCAGCTCACGCACGATTTTCTGCTAGAGCTGAGTAAGCAAGAGATGCATACGGTACGGTACTTCCTGGCGCATGGTCTTCTCAGGGTATAGAATCTTACTCCCCGCCAGCGCCACAGCTTCGTTCAGGGATGGCGCCTGAGAACAGCTCCCATGATACGTTTTCCTGTTTGCAACCGGAGCGAAGAGTGCGTTTCGCCGTATTACTCTACTATTCCCGAACTCATATTCGACATTCTTCATGCAGGGTATAGGCTTGACTTGCTGTGAGCATGAAGGATTCGAAGGGTGTGTCGAAATGCGTCGTCGTATTTGTGGGCGTCCACGCCTAACCCGAACGTAAACAACGTGGCATACTCTTTCATCTTGGTCTGCCGTCGTGCTAATTCTTGTGGGTTGTTGAGGACACGTTTCATCGCTTCAAAGATAGATGTCACATTTGTTTCATCCTGCGGATTGCCGGGTGCAGTAATGACAAAAGAATCATAGTCAATACTCAGAGTTTCGTCTTTGTTTTGTCGCGCTAAAAATGGATAGGACTCCTCGATGGAGCACGCAGTTTGCACAGTGTGCCAGCCCCTTCGATTATTGTTGGCATCCAGCTGCCACTCTAGCACCACGGGCAAGCACCCATTGCGGATGACATCAAAGATTCGGCGCTGCCAGCACGAGTCGCCAGGCAGAACTGGGCATAAAATGGACTCCCGATACTTCTGCATAAAGTCCACTTGGGGATATTTACCCAGCTGCTTATCACCCCAGTCTACCGCCAGAAAGGGCTTACCACAGAAAGTATAGTTGTTGCTGTAGTCCGCGGGGGTTTCTCCATCGACCGGTATGTTCATCAGATCCGACTTTACAGTCCTGGAAAAGTACCGTCGAAACCGTCTAGGCTTGAGGCCTGACATTCGTCTATTGACACTGTTGTAAAAGGCCACAAACGAGTACTGTCTGTTTTGATGCTCAAGGTCGTTCAGTTGCTGGTGAAGCATGCTGGGTTGATACATAGGCTCGTCGTGAAAAATTGGCAGCACAATACTACCAAGGCGCCCATCAGTGGGGCCAGCCACAAGACGCCACGTTTGAGCAGTGATGGCGCGTTTTAACATGGCATCAGATTGGACCTGGATGTAGAGATGCTTCAGTTTGTGCTGGGGGTAGTATGGAAGGGCTGCATGGAGTGCATTCATTTCTCCATCAGAAATTTGACGACAATCGAGCTGGCTAATACCTTCTGTGAAGTGACAATGACTCCAATGCATGTATGGTACCACCAAGAATGTAGCGTTGTGCGGATCCATTGTTCGACAAGGACTTGTGCGAAACAACTGAACCAAGGCCCATTCCGTAGCCACGTTTTCTGGGACAACTTGTCGTTGCTGAACCCGTATGCAGATAAAATCTTCAATGTCACTAGTGAAGTTGCTTGGTAGTTCGTCGTAGACGTAGAAGGAAAAGCCTTCTATTGGGCAGCGTGTTTCGTTGTTGTTGCTTTTTGGCCAATCTTCCACGGGTAGCTCAAACATTGACGAGAAATTACGAGCTGCCAGGGCGGTTGCAGACAGCGGGTGTATCACAGCAGCGAGTTCATTATCTGTGGTGACTCTTGAGTAGACGTCACGAAAAATGCTATCGATTTTGAATTGTAAGGAACGGTATCGACTTTGGTCGAGACGTTGAGGAACTTGAACGATCGCCTTGAGTGCCACAACTATTGTGCATATGATGATGGATTTTCTCGTCCTGCAGTCTTTTTTGCGGGAGGATAGTGGAGCCATCAGCCTCATTCTTTAGTCCAGGAGAGGAATGCTGAAAGGATGCAATGAGTGTCCACCACTCCAACAAATAAATGTCTCCATCATCGTCTCCTCAACGGCTGAAATATTGGCAAATTGTGAGCACAAGAACATGGCTGTTTATTACAGTTTCCTTACTTCCTATTTACGTAAGAGAGTGTGGCTGGTGCAGTGCTTTGCGTGCTGCCTAACAGTATTGCAGACTTCTAAGAGGACACTGACCTCGTACGGTACCAAACCTCAGGCTTCAATGTTACGTTTCAGTTCAAGCTCACTCGAGGTGACAAGCATAGTTAGTGTAATCGGTCGAAATCAGATGTGAAGTCACATTTATTTATTCAACTAGCATGGGGGCATCACCGTTGCAGCCCCGTGCGTACCGGTACCGTACCAGCCCCTGACCACCGTGGCATCTCTTGGATCCAATCCCGGCATTCATATCCAAGGGCGCCCTCTCAAACGATACTGCCAACGCTGTTGTTCCTCGACACCTACCGGTAGAGGAGCAATGCATCATCGTTACACAACATCGGAACCGTCCGAATTGAGGGACATTTCATCATCCGAGGAATCTCGATCGCTAATGGTGTTTCCGTCGCTTCCGTCTTCTCTCTTGACAAAGACGGATGGTAGGTTGACAATGATCAGCAAGGGGAAGAACAAACCAAAGAAGATGCCATACTCGTATCCCGAAAGGCCATAGTCGGAGCTGTCGAATAACAGAATCATGAGAAAGAAACTGACCACGACAATCACATTGCAGACCAACTGCGCTATCGAGAACCGGGCTCCCACTTTTCGAAACCACCAGGGAGCATTGACCAGGAACCCCAAGAGGATGCCACCGACAAAGAGTCCCATGAATTGGAGAATGGTTCCCACGGCATCGGATCCATCGTACGTTTGTTCCTTGACCGTGGACCAGCTAATGCTGACACCCACAATGACAATGGTAATGACGTAGACATTTCCGAGCCACTGAAAAATATTGGCACACGCTCCAGGTCGTTCACAACTGTTGTAATAACATCCCTGTTTTCGTCGCAATTCTTCTCGATGTCGTCTGGCTTCTTCCATGGCCCGGACAAAGTTGAAATTGGGTGGCAACTGATGCGTCGGTCGTCGCGCAATGGCCATTTTGGTTTTCAGTTTGGTCCGTGCCAAAATGACGCAATGATCCAATGCAGAACTCAACAAGAGATCGGCCGTCTTGTTGTCTACATCTTGACACTGATTAACCGATACGACGCGATCACCGACGTGCAAGAGCGAATGCGAAAAGAGCGACTTTTGTCCAATACGCCCAATTTCCAATTCTTGCTTGAACAATTCGTCGTCCGTCGTGACCATTTTGAATTCCATTCCGGTCCGACTATCTTGTATGGGTTTGGTAATGAGCGATTCGACCAGATCCTTTTTGCCACCTCGATTGTGGCAAATCACCGTGATGGATCCCGTCAAGACATCCAACAAGTGCGATGCATTGACGGGATCGAGTTTTTCGACGTTAAGGTCATTGATGCGCATAACAATGTCCAAGGGCGCCAGTGGCGTATTGGCAAAGAGGCCCGTATCGGCTATCCGCACAATTCGCAATTCTCGATCAATGCGTCGAAATTCCAATCCATGTGGGAGCGTGGCTTCTCGTTTGAGAATGGTGGCACTCACGTAGGCAGCACGATGATTGTCGATAATGGGTGGAATGTCATCATCATCTTCGAATCGGATTCGTCGGGAGGGAGGTTTGTTGTTGTTGTTGTTGTTGTCGGGAGGTAAGAGTGCTGCCAATTCTTCAATGCGTTCGCCATTGGTATTAATCGTCGTTTCGTCCATAATATTATTATTCATATTGTCACTGTCGTCTTTGGTGGGATGATATTCGTCGACTTCGGTTTTTTCTTCTTCGCCACTGGTGGTAGGAACGGCATCGATTCCGACACCGGCAGCCGACAGCAACAGTAATTCTGGTTGTTGTGGCATGATGGGATGTTGCTGAGTGTCAATGTCTTGGTCATCACTGTCACTGTTATCATCATCGTCATCATGTTCGGCCATGAGGGGACTGACGAGGCTAAAATTCTTGTCGATACCCGCTTGTCGTTCGTCGTCATCGTCGTCGTCAATCACAGCGCTGGCCGTAGACAGACTGCCGTCGGTATCATAGGTGGTATCGGTGCCAGCTTCGTCGGCCGTTTGGACCGTATTACTGCTGGAACTGTCTCTCATGAGCGTGGAATCATTGTCGGTATCCCCCGAAGACGATCTACCGGCTTTTAACTCTTGTTCTTCATTCAAATCATCTTCGGTGAGGAGGTTATTCCAGTTTCCTTGAGGAGGTGGAGATGTGCTAGTAGTAGTGTCAATATTGGAAGCGGCCGCCGCCAGCTGTTGTTCTTCGGCTTGTTGTTGTTGCTGTGCTGCTACCAATTCGTCCACGTCGATATCGGCTTCCAAATCATCGACATCCACTTCAGTGGAAGCCATGATGGAAATGCCAAAATCAGTCGATGATAGCTGCTTTTGTGGTTCTTGTTGTTGTTGTTCATGAGAGTCCACGGTGGTGCTGGTACCCAAATTGGGTAGGGAAATCACATCCCGGGAATCTTTACTGGAAGTTGGAACAATATCTGGAGTTTCTGCTGGTTGTTGCTGTTCTTCGTCATTTTCCATGTGGACAAGTCCTGACGTACTGGAAATGGTACTATTGTTACTGGGAACGGTTCGTATGGCTTCTTGTTGATCCTCTTCTGCATTCGAAGGCAAATTGTCGCTACTGTTCTTGTCTTCTGTTTTACTACTCGATTGGAAGGCATCCACTATTGATGACACGGCCGACAGCGCCGATCGAGCGAATGGAATGGCGGGAAAGGGAGAAAGAGATCGTTCGGGTTCTCTAAAACCTTCTTTGTCTTCTTCTTGTTGCTGTTGCTGTTGTCCTGCCACGGACGATGATGCTGGCTGCTTCCGTTCGTCACTACTACTAGAATCGGAGTCAACAGAGGCAGAATGCTGAGTCTCTCTCCGGTCGACTCCAGGCGGAATACTAGCATCTCCTACCGGGGTCATTTCAGGCTGTGAAGCAACAACTGCCCCCGGTGCCTCCGGTATTCTTGCAGCTCCAAGTTCGTTGGATGAAACTTGATCCTCCCCATCATCGGATCTATCCATTCCTTCAAAGACTTCATCCACATCGACTACGCTATTGCTTGTCATGGTGGTAGCGGTAGAGATCGTACAAGGAACCCATCGAAGCAGCACCCTTTTGTCATGGTCCGAAGCGTTCAAATTTCGGCCACGTCAAAACCAGCCTGTCACGTTCACGCTACGGCGCACCTTGCTTTCCACGTCCTCCTAACTCTTTTCGTTCATGCAAGGGACTTGTAAGAAGTGTTTCCAACCGCGATCCCAACGGATGATCTAGAGCTCTATCCCTACTGTATTTTATCAAGACTGAATGCAGCTGTGGGCTTCGTGATCTTATCAATGAGGGAGGCATCAGTCTTCAACCGCTTCCGGACTGGAAAACAGTAACGTACTGTGCGAAAGAGCTGTTCCAACTGTGGTTCCTTTTCCTTTCGAGAGCAGCTACCTGGTACCATGTGCCTCCAGGGTTCTCGTGTCCCTGTTTCTACCAGGCACCGGTACCGGTACGATGAGCTCCCAGCGTTGGGACAATCATGGCGCTCTGGATCTGGTACCGGTACCGTAGTCGTCTAAGAAGCCTCGAATGACCAAACACACGAATCAAGTAGAAGGGTGGTCGTCAATTCTAAATCTGTACCCGTAGATTTTGAGTGCACCTTGAAATCATGACCTAATGCTTCTAATTGTAATTAGTCTTCTCAGAAATTCTTAAGGCCTACTCTAGAATACAATGGCTAGTTTGCACGTTGCGTGCCCCCTGCCAACTTTGTCGTGAGGTCGACAATCCCACGCCTCTTTCATCCACAAATTCACAGAAAAAGGTCAAAAAATGGGAGCCTTGATGTCGTGTTAGCTGGTGTGGTGCTGCTATGATGGTGATGGTTGCTTTATCATGCTACACATCCATGGTGGGGAGTAAGACAGCAACTTGCATCCCAGTTTTGATTGATACAGGAAGCCATGCCGCAGTGCCCTTACTGCAAAAAGGCAGTATTATCGAATGGTGGTATGAGGCGGCACATCAATAAGAGTGCGTCATGTAGTGCCGCTGAGCTTCGATCACTTGGTAGTACTGCTAAGCCGAAGCCCTCTCTAGAGCTGTTCCGACTGTGGTTCCTTTTCCTTTCGAGAGCAGCTACCTGGTACCATGTGCCTCCAGGGTTCTCGTGTCCCTGTTTCTACCAGGCACCGGTACCGGTACGATGAGCTCCCAGCGTTGGGACAATCATGGCGCTCTGGATCTCTATCACTGGTACCGGTACCGTAGTCATTGTCCTCTGCCCCATCCTCCTACGCCTGACCTCCTTCCTTGCCATCCTTTCCTTCTTTCTTGGTTGGTCTGCTCTATTGGGTACTCTTGGCTCTCCGGCTCGCGCCCTTGCACTGAGCATTGCATTCGAACTCTGGAGTCGAGGGTCCATCCCCACCCATAATCCACTCTAATAGCCACATAGACTGGCTGAAGACGAGGTCGTCGTGTTTTTTCCATCAAAGTTTCGGGGTTCATTCCGTTTCATCCATACGACTAAATATTATTTCAAAGTTAGCTACTGACTGGTTCTGATGGTTTCCACCGAGGCAAAGTACCCTCCCAAGGGAACGACAAAGTTGTCTCGGAAGCAATCAAGGTCGCAGCTCTGGCCAGCCCTGACTGCTTCGCTCACTTCCGATAGGGTGGGCGGGGTGGATGCAAACTGGAGCCGGGCGGTGATCCATGCTTCCCAACCACTGTTGGTTGATTTTTCGCCAAAGGATTCCACCGAGAAAGAGACGAAAGCTTCAGGGAATGCTTCGCTGAGAAGAAGGTCAAAATACTGCCTACTGGCATGCTGAATCCCATGGATGTCTTCCTCTGACGGCACTTCCTCCTGCACTGGAGCTGAAGGCGACGTGCGAAGGGATACAGCTTACAATTCAGCTTTACAGCTTTATAAATTGCGGGCCTATTCTAGAAAATAATCAATAACGAACTGCTCACTTATTGGAAATACAAACTTTACATCTCTTAGATCGTTAGATAATCAATCACAATGGTATTGTCGCATGTAGCATGCGAGGTTATGAGATGTTACTCATTCTTATTCTTATATGTCTATCCCTTATGTGTTGTCAATGGAATGAGCTACTCCTTGTGCAGAGTCCGAGTTTCCTCTTCATCTTCATCGGTAGTCCTTCCCCTTATTGCAACTAATCTGTCGATTGGATCCATATTATCCCTTTGTCGATACCTTGGATTTGCTCGCAAGCAATCCCCTTTTTGTTGATTCGCTCGTAAGCAATCCACTTGTTCCCCTTTTCTTTTCCTGTCGTCGATCGAAATCGCGATGAGGATCTTATATCTTGACGACTGGCTTGTGTGTCATGCATTGAGGCATGCTTCCGGAGCCACTTTACCCCCTATTATGGCCGTTCCTCCGGTTGCTGCTTGCTGTTGCAGTCGGGTGGAGAGCTTGGAGTTGGTTTCAGCACTCAGGCCATTATCCTTTGGAGCACCTCGCTTAGGACATGATGGATCGTTTCCTGTGGTGACCGGTAGCCCCACAGTCAAAGCAGCGCCCCACTAGAAGTGTACCACTGCTGGTGGAGCCACTGGTTCTATCCTGGATGAGACTACCAACCTTGGCCTCAACAGCTTTGTCGATGCTGCCTGGAAGGCTTTGCCTGGGAGGTCTTGGTCCAATGTGTTTGGGCAGGCTCATATGTTTTCTGGTTGATGAGGACCGATAGAGGGCATCCAGGTCATTCAAAGTATCGAGTGCTTCCAATTGTTTGTTCCCATAGTTGCTATCAAATCCGTTTATGTCGCTCTTGACAACGAGCTCATGGACTTTGGATCGAAATATGGAACCCACATCGAAGAAGACCTCTCAGGGATGTGCTGGTTAGTTCAGGCATGGGATCACTGGACAATAAAGTTCAATCGAATCTCTTTGATGAGCTTGCTTGCATCGACAAAATACATGGACACATTTTCCCCAGGGAACTTGGTGATGTCCAAGTGAAGAAGCTTGGCTTTGAGGGTCTCAATCTTGCGAGAGAAGGTCTGTATATCTTCTGCAGAAGAGCCAAGAGAAGCTGGGGCCCATTGTGCTTGGCTCGAGGGACAATGATTTCAATTCTTCCTGGAGTGCATCAGTGCAAGTTCAAGACAGCCTTTCCCGACCAGGCAAGGTTGGTTAGATCATACTGGAGACAGAGTGTGGCTTCAGAGTCCCAGCATCATGAATCCAACCCCATTTACTGTGAGATCCTGATGCCATTTGTCCATCATAGATTCTGAGACCTGCCCAGGAGGGTGAACATATTAATTTTTAATGGTGTTAGTATTAAGATCACCAACAACAAGCTCAAAGATCCCTTCCATTCCATGCTTAAGTCATCATACTTTCAAAGGCGATAAGAGAGGCTAACACATGGGATCCAGAGGCATTGACTCAGTCAAAGTAGAGAAAGGAGACTGGGGGAATCCTTCGTCCTTTCTTGCATGCCAATTCAATTGGCTGGAGTGTGGTGTGATGTTTTAGATGGTCGTCTCCATGAAACCCCTGAGGCATAGGGTGCTTTGAGGTTCCTTTCCCAGTCCATCTGAGCCAGATCCTGTCCAGGCTCCAGTGTGGTTGATACCTCCAAGCGAGGGACTTCTGTAAGCTTGGTTTTTCCTTGGATTCCCAATGTGTTGGAGGAGCTCCTGGAATTGAGCTGTGGCAAGGGTGCTGTAGTCATGGTTGGGGATCAGATGGTGGGATGACTGGATCAGATTCAAAGAAGGCTTGTCTGAATCCCTGTGGACTGAACAAGGATGGCGCTGTACCGTTGAAGGAGTTGTGATGAAGAGGATGCTGAAGATAAGGAAGCGTCGTCAAGGTCCATTAATAGCTGATGGAATAGGAGGCAGTGAAAATCAACAAGGTCAACAGTGCGGCAATGGCAACAAGAGCAATGCAACAGGAGGAGGAGAGCGGTGGATAATGAGCAGTTGGATCTGACTTGAGGTTGAGGCCCACCCCGAATTGTTTGGCAAATTCAAATTTAAATTTAACAGCGACAGCGCGTTGTTATCTTTCAAACGACCAACTGCAAGCCATTCAAACGA